CCCCGCGGCTGGCCTTCCGTTTCCTGATTCACTGTGATTAGCTTTTCTTTTTAAATCATTAAAAGGTTTTTTAAAATTGTTTAATTATAAAAGTAGCACACGTACACTGTAAAAACAATGAAATAGTACAAAAGGGCTATAAAGTAAAACGAGAAAGTCGACCACCTCTTAGTCCCCTTCCTTTATGTCTAAGGGCGTCTGGCCCCGTTCCACCGAATTTCCTCCTGACGGGGTGTCCACTTCACCCCCAGAACCAAGCCTGCCTCTGGACATTTAAGATCCAAGCGCGACGCCTGACTCAGTGTCCTGCTGGAGCAAGTGGCCCCGAGCCAGGGCTGCGAGGGTAAAAGGACCCCCCATCTGTTACCTGACACTTGTGACCTTATTTTTATTGTTCCCAGGACTCCTCCCCCTTGTCCCATATCTCTGCCTCCCCTTCCCTAAAGGGAAGACAGGCGCTGGTTTGTCACTTTGGATGTCACCCAGCTCTCCAGGATCTGCCCCTGTGGCTGAAGCCCAGGCTGGTTTCTGACCTCTGGGGCCTAAATTCAAGGAGACTAGAGAATCCTGGAAACAGGCTCTGCTCAGAGAGGACCTGTGCCCAAGGTCCACAGTAAGTGGCAGAAGGCACCGGCCTAGTCTGAGGACCCCACAGCCTCACACCTGCCACCCTGTGGTGTCTTCTGAGCCAGGGACTTCTGTGCAAGTCGTGTGTGACCTGCGTCTTGGATGAAATGTGAGGGTGGCACTCAGGGTGGTAGAAATCGCATTGAAGCCAGGCGTGGTGGCACACGTGGGAGGCTGAGGCAGGAGGGTCACTGTGAGTTCAAGGCCAACCTGGAATACATAGTGAGACCCTTCCTCAGAATAAATAGATAAAGGAGATCTAGAGCAGGCAGTGTCCTAATGCCTCCCCCTTGGGAAGGATGTCCTGCTAGTCTGCGGGTGTGGACTGCTGCCAGCCTGTGCTCGCTAGGAGACCCGTTTCTGATGGTGAGTGGTGGCCTGCTGGGGACTGTGGCCCAGAGGAACAGGTGCCCTGAGGGTGGGAGTGGCTACTGCCAGCCCTAGGTGCTGTCATTTCTGCCCACCCCATGGCCCCAAGGCCATTATGTTCTTCAGGGTGATTCCCCAACTTATTTGGGGGGCTACTTGGGACTGAACTCAGGACCTTTGCACTAAGTCACATTCCCAGCTATATATGTAGGTGTGTGTGTGAGACACACACACACACACACACACACACACACACACGCACATTTGAGACAGGGTCTTGATAATTTGCTAAGTTTCCCCATATTGGACTTGAACCTGCAATCCTCTTACCTCAGCCTCCCAGAGTGCTGAGATTTTTTTTTTTTTTTTGTACCAGGGATCGAACTTGGGTCCTTGTGCTTGCAAGGCAGGTGGTGGAACCACTGAACTAAATCCCTGGCCCCCAGAGTGCTGAGATTTTAGGTGTGGGCCACTATGCTCACTTACAAACCACATTTTATACAAAGCCTCCCAATTTTAAGAAGCAGTGAACAGATAAAGCTTTTTAAAAACAAGTTGGGCTGAGCAAAGCCCATTATAGTACAGGTTTCTCTCTTCCCTACCCCTCCCTGGCTGCATCCCCAAGGGCCTGTGGCAGAAGCCAGGACACCCCGTCCCCATCCCTCCTCTGTTTTTCTGACTCCTTGCTTCCAGAAGAACCAGAGCTACAATGCTGTTGGGCAGTCACCTGCCAGACAGTATTAATGAAAAAACACAAACGAAAAGCACAGAAAATCACCTGAAGGTCTGGACACCGTGGGTGATCAACCCAGCCTCCACCTGTCCCTTCTCAGAGCCCCGGGTGGGGCTCTCCTTGGGGACCATGCCACCTGTAGACACTGGTCACTTTGGAGATGCCAAGGAGCGTAAGAGCCCACCCGGAGGGGGAGACGCAGATCCACCATGTGCCAGGCCCCCCAGGGTACCACACCACAGTGGGTCGCTGCTCCTTGTGACCCTGACAGTCTCGGCCTTGCCTCATTTCCAGTGACTGGGACTTGCTGAGGGGGCCAGGCCAGGTGTACCGTGAAGCGCCTGCCCTGGGGTCTCTGCTGTTTTTCTCGTGGCGAGACTGCAATTGTAGGTTTCCGGGAGGAAAGACCCCAAAGGTAGGAGCTTTTCTCTCCTGTCTCCCAGGGTGCCTGCTGCCCACAGGGGTCGTCACTGGCTGAGGTTGTGTGAGTGTTTTCCCCATTAAAGTCTTTTCCCTGCTGTACTCCTAGGTGCCAGTATTTTGGGTTTCTCTGCTGATGTTTGGCAACAGATGTCCTGGCCTTGCCACCCTCCTGCCTCAGCCTCCCAGGGGGCTGGGATTACAGCCAGGTGCCACTGCACCTCTGATGTTTGGCACCCAGTGGTTTTAAACTTGACATGTGTTTTGGATGTGTGTATCCAGGCTGCAGCTGCTGTTCCCTCCCAGGACCCCACACCGTGTTTCCACAGCACCCAGGGGCACCCCCTAGTCCCTGCGTCAGGGAATGGGACCTGTGTGAGGAATTCCATGGACACAGCAAGGTGGGCCCTGCTGTTCCTGGGGTCTGCACCCCTATTCTGACCACATTTCGTCAGGTGACCCCAGAAAGGCCTCGACTTTGGGTCACCGACATCACTTCCCGTCCCCGCTCATGGCGCCTGAAGTCCTCAGCTTCGCCACTGGCCGCGGCTCCATCCCGAGAGCTGAGGCCCAGCCGTGCCTTGCTTGGTTGACGAGATACTGAGAAGTTCTGAGCCACCCGGTAAAAGCGAGAAGCTCCACATTCATGTTTACGCTCCAAGCCTTTCCAGAAATCCCAAGCTTCCTTCTTCTTGCGGTTTCCAGAGTAAAGTTATTCTCCTGAAAGCTTTGGGTTCAGGGGGTGCAGTGACCTCTGAAGACCTCGTGGCTTCTGCGAGGTGGCCTCAGGCCACTGCGGAGCTCTTTGCACCCAGGCAGAGCTGTCCTGAGACGGGCTCGAGGCCCAGCCGTAGGTAGTGAGCTTCCTGTCACTGGAGGAGTGCAAGCTGCTCCGGAAGTTCCGGAGCTTGGGCAGGGGCCCTTGAAGTTCTGTGCTGTTCGTGTTTTAGGATATTATGAGACCTGCGTCCGTCCTTACGTCCTCTGCAAGCCGCGGAGGTCTTTTCCTCCTTCCCTCCCTTGCTCGCTCCTCCCAAAGGCCAAGGTCTGGCCCATCTGCGTGGCAATGGCGCCCCCTTGTGGCCCCAGCCCAGCGACTCCGCGGGTCCCTCAGCGGAGCAGCAGTCTGGGCAGATGGGCAAGGGAAAGTGTTTCCGGGGGCGGCACCTTCCCACCTGTCACGGCTGGGGCCACCATGGAGCGCCAGGGGGGCACAGGGCGGAACTGAGGGCCGCGCAGGGCAGAAGGTGCGGAGGGGCTGGAGAGAAGGGGTCAGGGACTATCCGGGTTGTGAGTCCGTGGTGGTTTCAAGGGACCCCTACGGTACTTGATAAGGGTCCCCAAGTGCAAGAGTAGCAATGCTGGCGATTCGGATGCGGCAGAGAAAACTATAGGCAAACGCCTCCTATAGGTGAGAAGGTGGAAGTACAAGAGAGACTACCCAGGGGTCTTATGGGAGTGCACTAGAGGATTGCTCTATTCTTGTATTACTGCTGCTGTTGATCTCTTCCTGGATCCAATTTATAAATTAAATTTTTGTGGTTTTTGAAGACAGGATCCTGCTATGTAGCCCAGGCTGCCTCAAGCGTGCAGTGATCCTCCTGCCTCAGCCTCCCAAGGCTTGCACCACCACTCCCCCTTAATTTGTAAATAAAACTTTATTCTGGGTATGCGTGGAAAAATAAACTGTAGAATTCAGTACTGTATGCAGGTCCAGGCACCCACTGGGCGTCTTGAGATGGTCCCACCCCACGAGGCCTGCTGACACCTCTTCCCCAAACGGCCCGAGTTGAGAGCCTGGGCGACGCCAAACGCTGGCAAGGAGAAACAGAGCTCCGTGTCACCGCAGGGAGAACGCAGAAGCCACTTCGGAGGACAGCTAGGAGATTTCTTGCAAAGACAAAGGCACCCAGAAATCATACCTCCAGGATTTACCCAAGTTAGCTGAGCCTGGTCCAGACGCGTGCCCCAGCCTAGTTCATAGCTGCAGGAGCGGGTGATGGGGCACAATCGCCCGAAGGACACGCGGACAGCACACAGCGAGAAATCAGCCTCCGCGAGACGGGGCTGGGCTTTACAAGCACGTTCTGGGCGCCCGGCTGCAACCTCTGGGTCTGTGACCCCCAAGCACTGGGCCGGCGGGAAGCAGGCGGAGCTGCCAGGGCCCCGAGGGGCGGGGTGGCAGGGCGGCACCACAGGGCAGGGCCCTGCCAGCTTGGAGCGGGGGGGGGGCTGTGTGGGGGCCGAGGGGCCACAGGAACTCTCCGCCTGCCGCTTGGTTTTGCAGCGCGCCTAAAACTGCTCTAAGGAAATAAAGTCTCAACCCACTGTGGTGGCGCACATCTGTCAGCCCAGCATACTGGGAGGCTGAGGCAGGCGGATACCAAGGACAACTTTGTGAGATCCTGTGTCAAAATAAAAAGGGCTGAGGGTGTAGCTCATTGTGAAGGCCCTGGGTCTAATCCCCATTCCAGATAAGATAAAGGAGGGCAGTGGGCTGGGAATTTGGCTCAGTGGTTTTTCCGCCTGCCTTGCAAGTGCAAAGGCCCGAGTTCGATCCCCGGTACTCCCCCCACAAGTTAGAAAATAAAGGAGGGCAGGAGTACTTGGGGTGTCGCCCCTGCAGAGAACCCAGCACCTTGATGAGCGCAGGGGGGAACCCCAGGTCTTGTTTGCTGGCTGCACAGCGACACCTGGCAGCAGAACCCGGGATTGCAGGCGGCTGCGCAGGCGCAAAGTGGTCCGGGGCCCCAGCAGGCGACCCGAGTGCAAAGGCGGACGCAGACGCAGAAGCCCATGCGACCTCAGGTTTGTGATGGCCCTGGGTTCCGTCGCCAGTGCCGGGGGAAACAGGCTGCCCCGCACGGCCTCCCCATCATTTCCATAGATCTGGGTCTGCCCCGCGGACACGGCTGGATGGCCTGGGGCCCACCGCGTCCCTCGAGGGTGGCCCTTCCCGGGGACCGTGCAGAAAAACATCCTCTCCGAGTGCCCAGCACCGGGCAAAGCCCAAAGGAGGCGCTGGTAGATATTTGTTGAGTGGATAAACGACCCCGCTGCTGCGTTGGTCCCAGCCATTCCGATGGTAGGGAGACTTTGTGGAAGGCCGAGCGGGTAGACCTGGACGGAGGGGAGGCAGGGCTGAGGG